TTACTCACTAAAGCAAATTTCAACTTTCTTAACCTCTTCATCATGAGCCCCCATAATCTCCTGTGTCCTTTTACAAAATTTATTAAGATTATATTTTGGAATTTCAAAAAAAGTCACTATGCCTTATTAGCTGACTTCACGGCCTTGATTTTAACTACCCTGGCAGAGATGCCCTTGAGGGCACTGCTCTGATTGGAACTTGCTCTCTGGGTAATATTGGTAAATCCGCGGTTGGTTCCCAGGTACAAGAGATACCATAACACAGTCTTTACTTGCTTCAAAGATTGAAGGAGTGATCTTCATGCAATGCTTTTGGCATCCATCAAGTTGAACACTTGCTGCAGTGAAGATATTTGTTTAAAGTAGAAAATGCTGACCCATGTGAGAGCCATGGCACCAGGGGTAGTTCTATGTCATCTTCTTCCAGTTTGGGACTTTAGCCAGTTTCTTCCTTTGTCAGGACTTGTGGTTTTCTGTCTTCTGGCTCATCTCTTTGAGGTATTCCCAAACTTGCTTAAAATGTTTCATCTATCTAAAAACTCTTGTTTTATATAAGGTAAAATTCCTGTAAACTTGCTGCAAAGCTTCAATGATTAGGAAGAGGCCTGCTTGATTTTGTTACAAAGTTTTTATTAGCCCTGACATCTTTTTCTATGCTACAAAACACATCCCCTTTTTAAAAATTTATTATTATTATTTTTTGACTGCTGCAAAAGGAAGCTTTATTGTTTCCATTTGGTCCTCCCCCCCAACCCCCGACCAGCTTGGGGGAGGGTCTCCAGGGTGGTGGCGCTGCTGCTGGTGGGGCAGGTTCAGATAGCGGGGCACAGGCCGGCAAGGAGAGGCAGAGGGCCCTTCGCAGGTGGTTGGGCGCCTTAGGCTCCAGTCGTGTTTGAGGCTGAGCCTCTCGAAGAGATACTCGCCTGCCCGGCCTGGGGGCTGGCCTGCCTGCATCGGTCAGGTGGTCGCCCATCTTCTTGAGGAGTTTCACCTCCTGGTCCAGAAAGTGGTTCTCCAGAAAGTCACAGAGATGGGGGTCAGTGTGTGTGGACCCCACGGCATGCAGGCCCAGAAGAGCCTGGTTGAGGTCTTCTCCTGGGCCAGCGTAGCTTCCATGACGTCCAGGTTCTACCCCGCTCATCTTGGGGCGGCTTCTGCACATCCAGAAAGGGTGGGCCGCTACACTGGTTTTGCAGCTTCAAGAAACGCTCGGCCCCCTCATGCTTCTCCTTCACCAGCTCGCGGAAGAATTGTCCCAGCCCTCCAAGGCCACATCACCGCGGTCAAAAAAGAAGCCCAGAGAGAGATAGGTGTCAGAGGCCCGCAGGTGCAAGTTGACCAGACGGTGGACACCGGCCTCAGCTTTGGCGGAATTAATTCTGATGGATCCGAGAGCTCATGATTGGTCGGTTTAGAGGTCACCACACACCAAATGAAAGTGTCAGCTGATCCCAAGAAGAGGGGATGGCCAAGAGGATGGTCCCAAAGGTTCCACCTGGAAAGGGAACTGGAGAGTGGTCTAAGGTTGGAGGCAGGGAGTCCCTGGATCTGTTCTGTTCAAGCACTGTTGAAACAAGACACAGATCCATGGGACCACAGAGCGAGCTTCAACATTTCCCTTTTTTTCAAAAGCACCTTAATGAGATTGAGAGGTGTATTACAGAAAAAAACAAACAAACCCTAGAACACGTCTGTAGCCATCCACTTATTGCAGAGTCGTGTTTAACACAGTTTGTTTGGAATGAGCCTGTACATGTATGAACTAGAACCCTCCTAACAGTACTTTTTGGCTTACCCTCATGATTGACGGTTAGGTTTATTGCTCATTATTTCTCTTCTGTTAGAAAGGTAGCCTCAAAATGTTTGATCTCTTTAAAAACTCTTGTTTTAGGTGAAGCAGCCTTCCTGTAAACTTGCTGCAGAGTTTACAGAGGCTCGGTACCTAGGAAGAAGGATGCTTGGCTCTAACAGGTACCCAACATGTTATTGAATGAACACTCTCATTACTTAGAATATAACCCTTTCCTGATTCCCTCTATACGTGGCTAACTCCATTTGGTCAACATTTAGGTCTCAGCTTAAACATCAATTGTTTTAAAAAGCCTCCCCAACCTTCCAAATATGAATATAAATGTACTTCCTAGGTATTCTTTCAGAACACTCCCCAAATCTGTTCTCATGACACAGCATTTTAATTAACTGTTAGGACTCTCATCTATCTTCTTGTTACTGTTATTAATATGTCATTAGATTAAATTGATGTACAATAATTCATAACAACATTGGCAATCATGTTAACATACACTCGTCTTAGCATTATCTCCGTTAATTCTTGTACCAGCTTGTGAGGTACATGGCAGCCCTGTTTTACAAATGAGGGCACCATAGCCTCATATTCAGCATAGGAATTTGCATGCAGTATGTGCTCCACATACATTTGTTGATGGACTAATGGGGGTGGGCTGACATATAAACTGAGTTCTATGTCAGTTCTTATGGTAAAGTATCACCTGGAGTGCTCTCGTTGGTCCATCTGGGATGACTCTGATGGATAATATTCCAGAACCAGGCCTCATTTTTTGGTTAATAAATTGTTGTTCTGGAGGAACTGGCCCCAGAAGTTCCATGGATGTATCAGGGCCAAGAACAACTTCAGCTCCGTCAAACAGACCAGAAAGCCCTCCTTTCACCTAAAACACATTAGAGTGAAGGCACGTGAGCAAAGGCAAAAGCAATGACTCTGAGACACAATACGCCAACTTGAAACGAGCTAGCAAACTCTAGTGCTCTCTTTGGAAGGTCATGGATAATATACATCCAGCATTTACAACTCTTCAACTTCAAAGATGAAGACTAACAGCAGGATCACTTAATGTGGAAACTATGCTATGTAAATTTGGGGAATTATGAGTGGGAGGTCAATTCCATGAATACAGAACATTGGTTTATTTTGCTTGTAATAACCTCATCATTAAAATAAGCTTTAAAAAATTAGCCTGTTTATTTGAGTAATCTCGTGAAGGTTTGTTTATATATCTAAATTAAACAATTATCACTATCACTCAGCTTTCCAATAAGAAACAAATTCTAGAGTTAAAACTTTCCCAAACAGGTCTAAGGGTAGACGGTCAACCCAAATATTCTAAAGAGGGTGTCTCACCTAAAACGAAACATGGAGTTGAGAATGTCACCTGAGACCCAGTGAGGCAGGCCTCTGAGGAAAAGCATCTTTTTGCCATACTACCCCCCAGCAAAACTGATGTCTTTAGGACAGCAAGGGCCAGCTAGAGAAGACAACGACTCAGAGAGTGTCCTGATCCCCTTTGCTCGGTTTCAAATACTGAGCAGTGAAAAGGAAACGCTGGGCTAGGCTTAGGGGACAGGTTTCAGCATGTTAAGGCTTTTTACGGTAGTTGTAAGTTTAGAAGGAAAGTGTATACACAGCCTTACAAGGGCATTGTCAGAAAACATTTTAATGACTTAGATTACTTTATTCACAATAATGAGCTGGGAACAGGTTTATTTCTTTAACCCAAACACGTTCTACTCTGCTGAATACTGCTAATAAAGGGCCATTCACAAGCAGAGAAATGATGAAATAGATTCAAGAAACAACAAACACCAGAGGAGGATTAATTCGGGTGAAAATATTCCAAGAGAAAACTAGGAATTACACAGGCTTTAGAAACAAACCAGAAGTAAAGTCAGGGTCAGACATGAAACGCCCCACCCCCAATTATAGCAAGCCTTCTCTTGCCTCTAGAAGTCTGAACAGTATTGCTAATTGAAAATCACAAATCTGTTCCAGATGTGTGCTTCATATAGTGAGCAGCTTGTCTTTGATGAAAAAAGCTCAGGGCAACAGAGATAAAGAAAATAAATCTCACCAACTAGTAGTCAGAGGCTTCTTGGTTTCCCTTACCGCCCTGCAGCATAAACTCCCTCTGTGGAAAGAGGGTCTGGCTTTGCCCAAGGACAAACACACCAAGAGTGCTCTTTCAAGGTCCTCATGTTCTGACTTTCTGGGTAAAAAAAAAACCTGGGCTGGGGCAGAACAGCACATTCCGAGACGCGGTGTTCTGCTGTAAGCCCGAACCGCCTAGATACCTTCCCACCTACTCATCTTGGGATCTGTGGCCTCATTCCTACATTAAAACCAGAAGGTGAGAAAATCCAAACGACTGGTTACTGTCTAAACTCATAATCGCTTATAAACTACCTAAGAGTTGACAATGATATAGCCTGGTTGAGAAGAACACAGAGGAAATGGTCCAGCAATTTTCAATCTGATATTTGCTACAACTCTTTGGGCAGCACTGAGAACGCTGTACAGTCCCTAAGCATGTAGCGCCTGTGGTAACTGGTCACTAACTCATGAGCATCTGTACAATAGACTGTCTCTAATGCCCTAGGCTGCTACTGAAAGGTTGGAGGTGTGCATTCACCCCAAAAGAAGTCTCAGAAGATTTATTCGCTTTTTAAATGCAGTTATCCTATTCACTTGATATGTCTAAAACGAACCCATTTACCTTACTGTTGGGCATTTCATTTTCTTTCTTAGAAAAAAATCAAATAGGTAATTTAATCATCAAAGAAAAAAACATGCAGACAAGCTAAGAAGAAGGGAAAAAAAATCTCTCATCATTCAGAGGCAGCCATTCTTAACACATTTATTGCATGGCCCATTCTAGAAGCCTTCCCAAAGGTATTCTTTTACCTTTCTTTTCACTGAAATGGGATCATATTGGTAACATGCACAACTGTGCTTGAGATAATGGATTATGGATTGTTATAAGAGCTGTAAGAGCCCCCAGTAAAATGATTCAAATAAATAAATAAATAGAAACTAAAATGGGATCATATAATACACACTGCTCTGTAGCGGATTTTTCCAGCCTAGCTGATAACTTTGCTTCAAATGAAGTCTCAACCAGCTCACACGGGCATGCCATTAGCATGCCACAGCCTACTGACCTGGACGACCAAGCCGTGTAAGCCACAGGTCAGTTTGCCTTCTCGGAAACTCCATGTCTGAGTTGTGCTTCGCCTGCGGTCAGGCTTTCTTAGCATCAGGGGTTCATACCTGGAAAAAAGGAACATGAAATGTCTTCTCTCCCTCATACATTTTTAGCCTGAAGGAAGTATCAGGATCATGGTTTTTGTTGTTCCTCCTTGTAACCACGTCCACCCTCAAAGCTAAGGGGCAGATCCTACGGAAGTTAGGTGTCTCTTAATAAGGACACAGGAATGCAACAGAGGGCAGACCAACCATCCCCATGTGACAGTAGGGCTGTTGCTTAGTTGCCATCTAGTCAGCTCCGATCAATGGGGAACAAGACACAGAACACAAGGCAACCCAGTTCGGGGCCATATTTTTGATTGTTGGTATTTTTGAACTCGTGTTGTAACTACTGAGTCAATCCACGTGAGACTGTCAAGATTCATAATATGATGATCCAGGTTAGTCTCACACTGACATATTCTCATGCCGCACTGGGAGAGATAGCTGCTGTCTTTCCAGACTTTCCATTGATCTCTGTTCTGCTCCATCTCCAAGTACCTTATATCATATTGGTTTTAACTTGTCAGTCCCCGAATGTCCTTTTGAAAGTAAATAGCTATTAAATGAAACTAAGTACACTGATTTTTATAAGGCACAGGTAAATCAAATCACTTATTCAAAGTTAAAGAGCTGGTTTGTATCCAAGAAGTTATTCATCTAAACATAACTATTCTCTTAATAATTTAATGTGTGCTTTAGAAATATGTGACACAATTCTTAAGAATATAAAGAGGAAGTTTTACTTTGGGAAGTAACAAAGTTTTGGTGAAAGAGGCATTCACTTTTTACCACGTTTTTCATTGTTTGAATGTTTTAACATTCGTATACACAATTCCATCTGTGTTGTTTTTTTTAATGGAAGGCCCAATTGTCATATTTAGGAATGTGACAGGTCTCGTTCATTGAAGACAACTACAAATTAAAAATTTGTCATTCTTACTTCGTTTATAGTACTCTATTTTTTTGTTATAAATTTCCCCTAAGTCTGAATTTGAAAGTGATGAGTTAGAATAACTGCCTAAAACCTTACCTGTTGTCAGTCACTGCAGCAAGACCAGCGATATCTAAGATGGCTGAGCCTTCGGAGAAGCGGGTTACTGGGGGCCTATTGGGGTTGTGAGGAACTGAAGAGCCCTCATGGGCCAGCATGCCTGTTCCCATCATCCTCCAGAGCTGAGAGCGCTTGCCTGGCTCCTGTTGAACAAGGGTACACAAAGAATGAGAGCGCTACCGTGCAGCGAGCTCCTCCCTCGTGTCAACTACAGGCCAAAATGGACTCAGGCGGAACTCCACATTACACACATGCTTAACCCAACCTCCATTTTGTCCATCCCTGGCTGCACTAACAGGGAAACACGCTAAAAGCCAACAATTATAAATGGTGTAAAGTTAGAAATTTTGTGTCGTTTTTAATCGCCTAATATTTTTTTTCTTAAAAAAGAAGTATAAAAAGATTGGCTGGGCAATAGTCAGCCAAGGTCCGCCCTAATTTCCTACACTTGCAATTTCCTACCATAAGCAATGCGATTCCAAATGGTGACTCCACGGCATGCTTATCTCAAAGAATAATCCAATTGTGTACAGTCTAATATGATTACTAAGGATATGATAGTCTACGTATTTGATCATTGGTCTTCCTCATCACTCACAAGCAGCTAGAGATTACCAGGGGTCAGTCTTCCTTTCCACCCATGTCAATTCATAGTTTCCAATATACCAGTTGATTTATGCAAAGGTTATATGTAGTTGATAGCTACCAATACAAAATATATTTTCTCCTAGGAACATTTTAGAAAGAGCACTTGGGCTTCTAGGTTAATCCGTGAAAGTTTATGTAATTTATCATATTTTTTAAGTAAAATCAGTAATAGTAATAATGCTTGCTGAGATGTTGCTTTTTGTTGGATACTATTCCATAGGATTTACATTCATTTAGTCCTCAAAACTACCCAATGAGGTATCATACTATTATTCTCCTTACTTATAGATGAAGAAGTCAAGGCTCAGTGAGACAAAGTAGCTGTCCAAAGGTCAGGTAGGGGGCCTGACTCCAGAGCCAGTATGCTCACTCACTCCATCATACTGCTCCTGTAACACAGTTCCTATCGTTCCACTCCAAGGACAGCCCCACCCTTCAGAATATCCCTCTGTGGGAGCATATACTAGACCTACCAGGAACTGTCCACCCGCACCAGGGCTGAGCTCCTGGAAAACAGCGGATGCCTCAGGGTAAAACGACAAGCTCATTAACATTCTAACAGGTGACTTCTAACACTAGGGTCTACAAAGTGCGCCCTAACAAAATAGTGTGGGTCAGAGAGGCAGGTGGCACAGTGGCTGTGGAGAGGATGAACACTGGAGTTAAAATGGCCAGAAACTGAAACCCTGCTACCCCTTGACTGAGTAGCCTTGGGAAAGTTCATCTTTCAGAGGCTGTTTCCTGATCTGTCAAAGGCGACAACCTCAGATGGTCTTGTGAGAAGTGCAATAAACTGTAATGTCCTTAGCAGAGGTATGGCGCATAGTAAAATTTCCATAAATGTTAGCTATGTTATTATTATTACAACTCCTTACCCAGCATCTATGTACCACATTATACACGTTGATCCTTCTAATGGAACAGAAGAGGCCAATAGGAACATGAAGCTCATGGAGGAATGTGAACTGCCAGCCACCATATCTTTAAGTGGCAACAGTCAGAACTCAAACCTATGGTGCGCTCTCTGCTGTGTGCGTGTCCCCTGTGTTTGCAAAGAGGCAAGAGTGAGCTGCATTTTTTCCATCTGTAATCCCCATGTTTGCTTCTCTGTTCACAGAAAGAAAAGGAATCTATTCAGAGGTTCAAAATCACATGGAAATGCATCTCAATTACCCTGCAGATGTTCCAAACTTGGAATTAAAGTGCAGAAGTCCTAGGTGAGATTAAGTTTTCACATATGGATTCCTCTACTGCCTGCCCACATATACATGTGCAATGAGAGAAGCTACCAAAATGTCCACTTAAAAACCTGAGATGCACCATTCATTCTCCTTCCAGTTCTACCTCCCCCATCACTAAGAATTCAGTCCTAAAACCATTAGACTAGACACAGTAAGGTAGACATCCATGGGGGCTCTCTGTGGGAAGATGTGCTATGGTAGTCCACTGGAGACTCTTAGCCTCCACAGGGGTGGCAGAGCAGACCAGAGTGGGTGTTGTAGTCCAAGCTAGGTGACAATAACATTCATGCCCAGGTTACACAGAGGAGACTACTATGGGGTATGAGTGCCCAAGGGGAACAAAGAGGGTGTCTTTGCACAGGTGGGGGCTAGAAAGAGGCCGGCATCTAAAGATCAAAGTTCAAGTGAGGGAACAAGGGCATCCACATAGGCAGGGGCAGGAGGACCACTGGGAATGGGAGACTAACTACATTCAGGAGAGCTGATAAAATCATTAAATGCATTTCCAGTGCTGGACAGCAAGCTGAAAATGAGGAAAGGGAGAAAACGACTGGAATCAGAAGCCCTGGTGTAAAACTCATGGCTTTCAATAGGTGTCCTAAAGGGTAAGTGCCTGGCTGTTAACTGGAATGTTGGCAGTTCAAACCCACCCAGTGGTTTTGACAAAGAAAGACCTGGTCATCCAATCTCATAACAATTACGGCCTCAAAAACCCCATGGGGCAGTTCTACTCTGTCACATTGAGTTATTTTACATCGAAACCAACTCTATAACACCTAACAACAAGAGATAAATAAATGTTTAGATATGTGTACGTAGATGCATATGTATATATACCTAAACCTCACTTATCGACTATCTCAGTATCCAATATTTAATATTTATAATCATATTTTAAGTATGATATAACTACTTTGCACATTAACACCATATATATTTATAATCATATTTTAAGTATGATATAACAATTTTGCACATTAACAACATATGTCTTGCAGTAATGAACACTGAGGTATGAAGCAAGAGTAACGCTGACTCTGATGGCTAAAGTCAATTTTGTTGGACCATGACTCTCCAGGGTTAGGCAAGACTTTATCTTATGTACTTTGGACATGTTGTCAGCAGAATATGATGTTTAGTCAAGTAGAGAGTCAATGAAAACAGGAAGACCCTCAACAAGATGGATGGGACATGGTGCTTGCAATAACGGATTCAAACATAGCAGTGTCTGAGGACGGTGCGGGGCTGGGCAGCATTTCCTTCTGTTGGAAGGAGGGTGGCTATGAGTCAGAGCCAAACCCACAGCATTTAGTAACAACCATCATGAGGAGACACTAAGTATACTCAAATTCAAAAACAGTTCACAAAACAGCTGGTCTGTGAGATTCAGAAGTGGAAAAGTCAAAAAGGTCAAGGCGAGAAGGGGGAACAGTTCCAGGACTGAAGGAGATCCAACAAGTGCCATATGTGAGTCTATCTGACCTTGATGGGACAGTGGGAAAAGCTTTTAACAAGGGCTGCAGACGGGGTGGTGGCAATGCTCCAGTTGTTAATCCTGATGTTGCTGGTTGTGTGGTAATGTACAAGATGGTCCTTGTTTGTAGAAAACACATACCAAAGTATCTGGAGGTGATGAAGCAACATGTCAACAAATGACTTTCAAATGTTTTAGACAAAAAGCTCTTTGTACTTCTGCTGCAACTTTTCTGTAAGCTTGAGATCGTCTCAAAATACACAGCAAAACCTAACCAACCAATAAGAACCTAAGTTACCAAACTTTCTACTCTTGGTCATCAATTAAAGAAGATTGAGTCAATTCTTAATGGAAACGCATGGATTGTTGGTTAATCTTAGCTGTCAATGTACCTCATTTACCATTACCTTTCCATAGACCAGTTTTCAACCTCATTTAGGGAGAAAGTAACTGTGAGGACGGTCTGTAAATGACCAAATGTTATTTAACAGCTTACACTGATTGCTACTTAATAAAATAGCAGGTTTTATCTCCTTAGCAGCCCCCAGAATTACACATGCATGTATTATTAATATTTGACAGATCACAGTAAAACACAGCTGGTTATTCACATCCTTCTGGATAAATCACTTTGCTCCTGAGTAGTTTTCACTCATCCTAACACACGTATCTACTTGAAGACAGCTTGGAAATGAGCCAGCGTCATTTCCAAGAACACTTCCGTTTCTTTTCTCAAGTCACTTGACTTCTGTCAGACCTGGCACTTCTTCTAGATTCACGCTGCTTTTCAAAAGGCTACAAAATTGTTTACTTTCAATTCCTATGCCTCATGGCCTCTTATCACCATACTAAAATCATTGTTCCTCTTATATAAATACCAAATAAAACAATTCACTGCTACCAAGTTCATTCAAATTCATAGCAGTATTTGAAGATAGAGTAAAATTGATCCCTAGTATGCCCAAGGCTGTGTATCCTCACAGGAGACTGTCTCTCCTTTCTCCAGTGGAGAATTGTGGGGTGGGAGTGGGGGTGGGGGCAGGGAGGGGGGTGTGTCTTGAACTGTAGACCTCTCAGTTAGCAACCCACTGCTTAATCAACAGTGCCACCAGAGCTCCTCAGATAAAAGCATGGTCACATTTTAACCAAATTTGAATGATGTGATATAAAAACAGATGCATTAAAGTTTTATTTCACGTGCAATTTTTGAAATAATTTGAACCTCCCCACCTATCAAAGATGTGTGAAAGACTGTAACTACAAAGCCAAGTAATCCCTACACAGGTCTACCCCACTGCCCAGAATGATACAACTCTGGGTGATAACGTCACCACTTGCCAGCATTACAGTCACTTGGGTGGTTAGGACACATCTTCTGCCAGGGCTATTTTAAAATTATATCAGTTAGGTAAAATCTTTAGGAAGACCCCCCCCACACACACACACACACACACACATAAAAGTGACCTCCCTGCTGGCGCGCTGCACTACTCTGACTCGTCTCCTGATGTCCCTTATGCGCCTCTCTATTCCCAGCCTTCTTTCCTCATGTCTGACCTCTGTATTTCCCGTCCTTCTGTCAGAGCTTGTATTTCTGGCCACAGTGTACTGGTTTTGTCTCTGTATCCAGGTCCCTTACATAAACATGTCCCCAAACTGACTTGAAAAGAATGTCAAATTAACTCCCCTCCCCTTTTTATGTTGATTTCCAACTCTACCATCAGCAGGAAAGGGAGAAAAATGTGTCCAGCTGATGTTTTCAAAAGTCAATTTGCGGGGAAGTAAATTAAGGGAGGATTACAATAGATAGACAGAATAATGCAAAAAAAACAAAAAACTCAAGGACCCCGTTCTTTAATGTGGGCCAGAAGATGACAGTGGCCCCACTTCCTGGGGCAGGAAGGTCATCAAACTCGAGCCCTCAGGACTCTGCGTTCTGCACTCTGAACCAGATTTTCAGCTTCTCCCAGTCTCCATATCCTTGTTGCACAAAGAAGAGATGGGACTAGATGCCCTGAAGACCCTGACAGCGCTAGAAAACTCCTCGACTTGAAATCCCAGTGGCTAAAGCCCCTTACCTTCTTCTTTAAAATGACTCTCTGAGTCTTCGGTGAGACATCCAAGACCAACTCTAAACAGGTAATGGCCTTGTTAGAAGTCACAGGCCTTCCTGATCCCTCCTGCAACCTGGAATTTAAAAATGAAGATATAAACTTATTCACACACATTTTTACATATGCATAAATTCACACTGTATTTTAAATATTCACACATTTTACATATGCATAAATTCACACTGTATTTTAAATATAAGGACACATCCAAGACATGTGCCATGTATTTGCACACAAAACCAACTACTAAGAAGTAAACCCCTAAAACCTCTATTAAAGACTACTTCTTTTTATTATTCAAGCATGGTGGAAAACTTGGACTCAAGTAGCAGGAAAATAAGAATTACATTTTCCCCTGTACAGTTCAGGGATTCATTTGTCAAAACACATACAGTGATATTATCTCTCTCTAGGTAATTTTAGTGGCTTATCGTTCAGACATGAGCAGATATTATGTATCATTTAGAAGCAAAACAAAAACAAAACCAAATCAGATATCCCAATGAACATCTTTGCTAGGCAGAAGGACAACATCACTGCCTCTGTGAACTGGGCAAGAAAGCAGAAGCCCCTCTGGATGAAAGGAAAGCAAATGATTCATGAACACCTTCCTCCCATGCAATCCTGTTAGGTTTCAGGTGGCTCTAAAATCTTAAACCTTACAGAATATTGTAACCTAGCTAGACTTTGAGGTGTTTGGATAAGGATTATTTAGATGATTCTCCTGTTTCTAATTCCAAGCATCAAGAAAAAAAACGAAAAGCGCACTGCCATTGAGTCAATTCCGACACATAGTGACAAGAGTGGAACTGTAACTCTGTATGGGGGTAGAAGCCTAGACTTCTCCCTCGGAGAAACCGGTGAACTCAAACTTCTGACCTGGCAGATAACAGCCTAACTCTTAACCACTATGACACTAGGGCTCCTCCTCCCCAAGAAAAGGGACTGAGTTCAAGTCAGAGTTCAAGATTCCAGTGTGTTCAACTGAGTTAGTAAAGAGTCCACCACTAAGATTCTTTAGTTGGAGAGCTTAGCAACTACTGGAATCTACAGACCATAAATACAAGGGGAAAAAGGAAATAAAAACCCAAAACCAGCCATCAGATGTACAACTTGTGAGGCATAGTGGGTATGCATTGGGCTCCTAAGCATAAAGTCAGTAGTTTCAAACCACCAGCAACTTCTCAGACAAGGCTTTCTACTTTGCCAAAGAGTTAGTCTTAACATACAGGGGCAGTTCTCCCTGCCCTATAGGGTCACCATGCGTTAGAATCAGTGTCATTGTAAAGGGGCAGTGAGTTTCATTTTTGAGTGAAAAGGCTGCGTAAGCCATGTCATTGAGTGCTATACATTTCTGTGAGGTATGTTAGGTGTGCGGCAGCTTGTGGCCTTAAAATGTATTCTTCTTAGGTGATGTCTCATTTGGGGGCCAACTGGGAACGAACAGAAATCAGTAATACAACTGTGTTGATACTGAAAATTGATGTGTCTTCTTGAAATAAAGAATCAGTCCCTCCAAAATAATAATAATGAACAAACAAAACACGATTGGCTCAATTGTAGTAAGATAAACAGACAAGCACCACCATTACCAAAGAAAACTGCAACCAACATGGAAAAGGGTGGTTAGGCTCAGCAAGGATGCTCAGTCCATCCATCACCAAGCAAAACTGTATCTCTCAGTAGGTGTGTTCAGAGATTACTCTGTGGGCTTCAGATACATTAAAACCAGCATTCATCAGCAAAACTATTTATACTATTTTTGGATCCAACTTTATGTCGAGTTTAATGGCTTTATATTTGTGATGCTAAATACTCACCTATTCACCCCTCCTCTTTTTCCACAGTAAAACTTTCCAAATTGACCCCCTAACTTTTGCACAGAAGTAATGAACTATTTACACATTGGGAGAATGACTACTTTTTGAAAACTCACTGGGTTTTTGTTTTTTCTTGGATTCGTTTTTCTTGCAGTAGCCTTGCAAGATCTGATGTCTGATACTATTTTATTTTGCTGCTTTTCAGTTTCTGTATTGCTTCTCTTAAATAAGTGAGACAAATTGACAGCTGCATAAAAAATGTCGGGTGTTTGCCATCTACTCTCCAGACTTCGGAGTTCAAGGAAAACAAGGCAATGCTTCTTGAGCATCAGTGGTAGATGAGCTCCATCTGAGCTGTTTGCCTGGTGTTTTCTTCAACATGGCTGACTTTCCTAGCTGGATGTCATACGCTACGTATTACTCCATATGTTAACTTTCTCCACAGTTCACTTCGATTGGTGCCTGGTTATATTTCTAGATTTCTGAATCACGGAACTTAGTGGCACTATGGATTAAACACTGGGGGGTGGGGTGGGATGCTAACTGCAGAGTTGACAGTTCAAACACGTCAATGGCTCTGGAGAGAAAGATGAGGCTGTCTGCCGCCATAAAACCCTAAGGAGCGCGTCTACTCTGTCCTATGGGGTCACTTGGAGGTGGAATCCAGTTGATGGCAGTGAGTTTTGTTCAGTTTGGTTTTGGTGGGAAGCAGGGGAGGATATGTCAATCTATGTACCAATCTACCTGCAAAATTAAACTAAACTGACTATTCTTCACTCAAGTTCTCAAAAACAGCAAGCCAGACGACAATGAAGATTATAATTCTGTGGCAATTTTAATTACTGTGATTTTAAGCTTTTACTTGATGTGGTAGTTACATAATTTCAAGTCAACTTGATAAATGAGTGTAGGGGTGGAGTCTAGCCTGTCAATCAAGTGATGACAGAAGATGCCTCCTTGTGGGCATGGCCTTCTCATGAGGATTTTGGAAACTTCCCCTCTCTCTGTGCTTCACCTTCCTATTGGAGAGCCACACTCGGAGAGCTGGAGGAGCCACATGAAGGCCCGTGCCAATGCTGAGATGCTTCCACTGCCATTTATACCCACCAACCTGTGATCTTCCTGCATGCTGCATCATTGCGTGTGGCTACATAAGTCTGAAGAGGGAATGTATGGACTAGTATCGGACTTATGGACTTTATGGGGGGGGGGGTTTCTTAATGTACAATTACTCTTTGATATAACGCTCTTTCTTACACATATATGAGTGTCCCTGGATTTGTTTCTCTAGTCAACCAGGCCTAATACACTTGACTTTAGGAAAATATTAAGACAGACCATTAAGTGTTAGCCTATGAAGTATTCTCAATGGGGGAGGAGACACATCATCGACTGATAATGATGATGATTAATCAACTTCAAAAGTGGGAAACATCGAAACAAACTTGGAAATAGTAAAAAGTTTAAAATGGCATTAAAAATACTTTCAAGCAAGAATCATGTGAGCTAGTTTAAGGGTGGCACCTTTTAGGCAGAGTTGCTGAATGCTAGAATGTATTGTTTCGGGGAAGGGGGTGGGAGCTTTAAAAAGATGAGGTCTTACATCTTCAGATACATTTTAATCTAGCCACAAAGCAAGGGTTCAGGAGTAAAGGGTTTCACAAGAAAGACTCTGCAAGCTAGGATTTGGTAAGGAATGAAGAAATCTTCTTTCATAATTTGGTCTCCTGAGAAACTGCTTACAGTTTAGGACCAGTAATAATGAGAACCTTCTGCTCTACAGGAATGGCAATTTAACCCAGAATTACCCAGAGAATGTGTGTGTGGCAGCGATGTAAATGAAGTTTTCGTAATAAAGCTGCCGGTTATCCTGGAAGTCATTCATGTTACAGTTGATCTCAGAGGAGCCTGCCCCTTTCACTGTCAGAGTAATGAAAGGCGGTAGGCTGGGTTCATCCCAGGCATAATCCAATGATGTCAGGGGCTTCACTTCAGTCCGGAGCCTGGGTTCAGCCACACCATGCTGAGTAAAGACAACTGGGACCTAGAGGAACGACAGAGAAGACAAAGAAGACTTCCTAAGGAGTGAGGCCTGTCGGGAAGGGATCCAGTGCTTCCTAGGTTTAAGGTCCAGATACTTCTCAAATGAATCCTATACAGAAAATAATCAACCACCAGTAAGGTTCACCATCTCACCTGTCCGAATGACTTCCTGGTCATCTTTCAAATTCTAAGAAGCCTATCAGTTACAGGACACAGGCTACAGACTGCTGGATCAGACCTTTAAGGGCCTTCACCAACGCAAGTACCAAGCGAAAGCTCTTCTAACCTGCCATTGACAGTACCTCTACCCCAGTAGTACCTTTGTGATAACGCACTTGGAAAAGAGAAATGAATTAAAGATTTGGAACTCAGCTACAAAAAGCCACAAATTATGAGACATACTGCTCTTCAGAGGCATACTCTAAAATAGAATCTAATGATTTCCATTTGGGCTTTACGTGGAAAACTTACCAAAAGCATTCACTGTAACCTGGCAAGCAGTAGAGCTGCCCATTCCCATAACCACTGGACAGTGATTCTGATTGCTCTGTTTGTACCCAGTGTCTACAGAGAGCATCCTGACAATCGGACAGTCTGGTCAAAATAAGTCTCAGGGCCTCAAAAATGATGTCTAACTGGGCAGGGTTGCTCGGCAATCAAACCCCCCAGCAGAAACCATCTTCCAAAGGGAAGAATCCTTAGCGCCCACAGCTAGACAACCCCTCATGTCTTTGTTGAAACCTACATTACAATGTATTTCATCATATACCCCACCCCACCCCCCGCCCCTGGCCTATGAGGCAGCCAAACGAGCTCCCAGCTTCACTTCATACCTTGGAAAAGTTGTCGATGCGGAAAGGAGGGGGCAGCTGATCAGTGTCACTAAAGGAGATCCTGTAGGTAGCTCCTCGGAGAGTAATCTCCACTCTGAGGAAGAAGCATTTCCCCAGGGTATCTCTGCAGAATACAGAAATGAAAGAGGCTCCATAAGTTGGAGAAGGAAAGGTGCAGTTTGCCTTCTCTGACTTTGCATAGCTGCAATACTGGGCCTTAATCAACACTACTGAATATGTCCTTTGAAGGTGCTAAGAAGAAACTGGTCATATAAACACACAAAAGAGAGGGGGTGTGGGGAGAGCTAATTCAAGTAACTTTTGAAACAACTGAGCACTAAGACCTACATAGAGATTTTGGAATTCATTGAGTGGGTTTATTTTTATAGTTGTGCCACTTTAGCAAATGAGTAAATACTGGTTGGACCACATGAAATTGCTGATACGTGATTATTTTTGACACAGAAAAAGAGCAATTTCATACAGTTCAAACTGATATATTGATAACCAGAGTTCTCACTGTGGGATGAAGGAAGGCAAGACAGAATCTTGTGGAATGGAGGTACCAAGATGTACCCAGATGTTACTCTACATCAGAGGAAAAAAAGTAGAAACTCTTCTTTATGAAGAATGCCAGGGACTAAATGTAGAAGAAATTTTAAAAATCACCCATTGTAACCACTCATTTAACAAGTGATCCTGGCAAGGATCATCAAACACCGGGTACAAGGTTTTCAGGAAATAGGGTATTCACACAGTTTCTTATTTACAAAGAAGAAAACGGCAACTACAATACAGACAATTGGTAGATACTATGTTAACCAAGTGATGATCCGACTGAGCAACACCAATAATGAGACCAACTGACACTGATGCCTCCTCTTGAAGGGGCATCAGGGGACACACACAGGGGTACTCTTACCAAAAATGCTGGATCCAAATCTACCATACACAGAAAAATTTCAGACAAATCCAGCAAACAGGTTATGCTACCAGAGAGCTGGCTTGAACTCTTCAAAAATACCAATGCCAATAAAAATGCCGAGAGAGAGAGAGAGAGAGAGAGAGAGAGAGAGAGAGAGAGAGAGAGAGAGAGAGAGAGGCTATTTTGATGAGCATTGTGGCTATTAAATATAATGCATGACCCTTGGCTGATCCTAGATCAGAGAAGGTTGGTTGCTATGATAGCTAGGTTTTTTGTGCCAACAGGACTTTAGCTTGTCAATCAGATGATGACCTCCCTTGGAGCTCTCTGGAGGCTGCCTCTCTCCTCTCTCTGCCTTGACCTTCCTGCTTTCCGACTCAGAGCTGCTGGGGCCAAGCTATGCTTCCACTGACATTAGATCCACATGACTTTGCACCCAACAGGCATGTGAATCCTGCATTCTGCACCAGTGCTTGTGACTGCATGAGTCTGAAGAGGGCTTCTGGGCTAGTCACAAATGTGGACCTGAGTTTGACTGAGCTGGGATGATTTCTTGATACAGTATTACTTCTTGATCTACAGCTCTCTCTCACACTGAATTTGTTTGTCTAGTCAACCCAACCTAACACAGATGCTATATAGGACAATTTAAAAGAATTTATTAGAAAATTTTGTCAGTATTAAATTTCTTCAATGTGTTATAATGATATATTTGTGTAGGAAAATGTTCTTGTTATGTAATAAATGCTCACGTTTTTATGGCCTAAGTATCATGATAACTGTAATTTATTTTAAATGGTTCTGTTAGGTAAGCTAGCGTAGGGCTGGGGGGATGTCCGTTAACGCATGCCCAGAGGGCCAAGCTACAAGAACAAAGGAGTGGTGCACTGCACATGCCCAGAGGCTCAGGTTTCCCGCCATAGGCATGGGTGAACGTGAACCTGAATTGGCCCACCTAGGCCAGGTGAATTCAATTCAGCATGGGTGGGCGCTGAGCCTGGATTGGCCCACCTAGGCCAGGTGAATTCAATTCAGCCAATGGGGTCGATCAGGGGTCTTCCACCACGCCTCCCCGTGGAATCCTTGAAAAGGCAGGAGCCGGGAGCACTTAGACACACTTTTGCGTGACGCCGGGCAGTTTCCAGACAAGCTGTACGCTCGGGAGGAGCCCCTCGGGTGCCGTGTAAACCTGAAACTTCTTCTAACTCTCATAAAACTCACTTGGATCATAAAGCAGGCTTCGGGGTGAATTCTTTCTTGGGCGGAGCCAAGGACCGAGGTATATATCTACTTCCAGAGAGATCTAACAGTTCAGGAAAATATATTCGCATATATATGAAAGACAAAGAGAAAGATGAAGAGAGTGAAAGAGAAGAGAGAAGAAAGGAAAAAGAATGTAGCAAAACGTTAAAAATTGGTAAATCTAGGTAAAATAAAACATGGAAGGGTATAAGTAGGACATCTTTTTATTTACAATCATACACATTATTCCATGCTTTTAACTCATGTCAGTTTAAAATGTGTCAGAAATGATTATGGGAAGTAAAATAAAAAGCTGTCCTACTTCTGTCCCCAGTAGTTTAGGGCCTACACATTAAACTACCTTCATATGTAGCACTACTCCCACCTCCTTTTTTGTTTCAAGTAATCATGAGTAACTCTGTTTACATCCACATTGGCTTCCTCTTCTTACAATGGATTTGTGCTGTCCCCCCCCCCCACCTGGTATTTAGTATATAAAACAACGGTGGCTGTAACTCAACACCCCACCTGTTTTCTGTTTCAATAGAAATCTTGTGGGGAGCAAAAACACAACAGATAGAAATTCTGGCTGGAGTAGGTATGAGGATACTGCTGTCCTGCCCATTCTAACCCCTGGCCTCTCTAAGGTCACCTTCTGAGAAGCCACTTTACCCAGAGTACAAAATTAACTCTGAGGGCCGTAATAAAGCAAAATTAAGAGGGGTAGGTCGCTGACCAAAAACAACCCTCACAAACAACCAAAAACAAATAATTAGATCAGTTAATACATTTGAAAGTCAAAAATCATATTTTTGGATTATCAAGTGTCAACGTATCCATATTTCTGTTCCTTTACAATTGCATTCTCAATAGAGAATCAGTCTTAAAGTATAAACGTAATATTACATTTTATTTCCAGATGTGTTGAGAGAGCGTTGATTTCAGATTTTTTTCCTTCACTATCACGGGATGGAAGAAGAAAAGATCAGTCAGCCTGAGCTGGGTGTGGCTAATTTTGGTTGATTTTTCTTAACAAGAATTTGAAGACTACTAGATTGGGCAGAGTAAGACAATTTATTGGGCCCACAGGAGTCTGTAGAAATGTGAAAGAGCAGGTAAACACATCAGGAACCAGAGTGATCATCTATATGCACACAGAATGTGCAGGTAATCATTACACCAGTTCAAGGCTACTGACAGCCTTAGCCCTTCACCTTGTAACCTCTTGGACCAACAACTTGCACCTTGGTCCAAACCACCAACATTCCCTTTGACACATTCCATCAAAATGCTCGCTCAGAGGTATCGGGAATTTCTAAGTGTTACAGCTTTTGTCTGAGTCAGAAGTACAAACATCATTTCATAAGAGCAGCAGGCCAAAACTTTCCATTTAGTGAGTCGTCATTGAGTCCACTCTGATTCACAGAGACCTGTGGTCACTGAACAAGCCACTGGCCAGCCCCGTGTCATCTTCACAGTTGCCTGGATGTTCAAGAGTCCATTATTTCAGCGACTGTACCTGTCCCTCTCATGGAGGGTTGCCTTCACCCCTGCTTGCCCTCTACCTCACCAAAAGTACCTCCTCCTCTAGTAATCAATCACTCCTGATGAAATGTCCAAAGCAAGTCAGCAATGTTTTGTTGTGATCCGTAAAGTTTTTGGAAGTAGATTATCAAGTCTTCCTGATTAACATGTCTTAGTCTGGAAACTCTGATATACCTCAAACAAGGCTACTTTTAGTCTAAATACAAAGGGGCTTCAAAAATGTCATGGAAAAATGGAATGAAAAGATGATAGATTTTTTCCCACAACATTTCTGAAGCCCCTTTGTGTAGGCTCTGAACTTACCTCATGTTGATATGGAAGGAATTATTCTTGTTGACTTCAAAGCCACCAGACCAAATACAATTGGGAACATCCATAAGTCTAACACACAATAACTGATCATAGTCATTTCTCGGCCAGTGGAACACCACACTGGAACCTGGAAGGGTAGAGATGTAACCTTCGGGATTGGCTGTTCCCTAAAACACAGAGATCACTGGCTTTAGTCGACAAGTCAAGTCAAGATCACAAGTGGTTTACCAAGTACCTACTCTGAGCCTGGCTCTGTACAAGAAGCTACCTGGAGTAGCTACCAAAGGCACTGAGTGATTCTTCCCGTCACCGACCTGTCTCAATGGGGAGAGAAACTAGGACGCCAAAGCCCAGTGTGCTATTAAATAAGGGCTAGTCGCTCTCCAAAAGCAAACTGCTTACCTGGCCCCTGGCAAATTCCCTCTGTGCAAACGCCAGCTTGTGAGATGATTTATTATCTAACAGGTAACGGGGGGCAAAGATGACCATGCACGTATCAATATATCGACCTCGGCCCTTCTTGACATCAATACCTGGGAATAACAAGAATCACGTGCACGAATTAGAAGAAAGAAAATTCATGGACTGACAGAAATAAATAGGCTTCACAATTATTGCACTCCTCTGAGAGAACAATGCCATCACCCAGAGAGGACATCAAGCCTCTCAAGTGCAGGGAGAAACCAGTGATTCCATCTAGTCCCAAACGTCTCAGTGGTAATATAAGATCTCCCCAATCGTTAGCTTCCTCACAAAGTGCACACCATTATGACAGAAGGTAAAAGACGTGTTCAGTTGCAGCTATGTCTGGGTCCATCTGTGACCCTGCCTCCTAAGAAAGTTTTACATGACCCATTTCTGCTTCCGCCTGGGACATAAAATGACCCCTTAGAAGCCTTGCCCCTTTGCAAGGACAGAGTGGAATACAGATTATAGAGTTGAGTACTCCTGAATTTAGCTTTCTCTTCTCTAACATTTTCTTTTAATCTACTGCCCAAGAATGAAATGCAAACAAAATGCTAAACATTCTAGAATCCATTTATTCATTCACAGAAGAAATGTTTTCAGAAGCTACCCTGTACTGGTGGGGGTGTGTGTGAAATGAGCAAGATGCACAGTAGGGAAAGTCATCATCACCAGGCCCCACAGAAAAAGAATGTGAAACAGCACAGATTTATCTTTAAAACTCTAGTGAGATTAGTTTTCACAAATATAAAACTCAATGAAATGAACTATTCATTCATTCAGATAACAAATAAAGTGACTATGTATACAAGGCACTGGGTTGAGCTGGTCACACAATGATTTTTAAAATGTAGAAACTAAGAAAAAAATTTTAACAATAATATTTATTGGATTCTTAATATCCGATAAGGCCTTCTATCAAAGGTTTTAAATTTAATCTTCATAATAACCTAATGGAAGAGCTAGCACTTTACAGATGAGAAAGCTAAGGCAGGGAAAACTAAGCAACTTGCCCGAGGACATGCAGCTAGCAGTTAGCAGCTAGCACACGAGGGATTCAAACCTAAGCAGCCTGACTTGAGCCAGCGCCCTCATTTGACTTACTTACACAGGTTAAGGACCCTAACTCAGCAATCAGCAAGTATCAAGGGAGCAATTAGAATGGAAGACTCCATATTCAGACATGACAAATTTATGTCCTAAATGTCCCAATTATAAATATTCTAATCTGTTAATTCCATAATTCACTTGAATCTCCATGAAATATAATTTTCCTTTGATACTATGTCTTACCCAAAAATTATAAAAAACAAAACGAAAATTTAACAAATCACAAAAACAAAACTTTCATTCTCCCAACCTTCAAGAGGTAAGGCAGTTTAGGGGCTTCCAATTACTACCACCACTAAGTGCACTTTATTGTATTGTTAGCCTCAAATTCTAAGCCTATTTCTGACCCAGGCTTCCCCTTTGCATCTGGGCAAGGCACTTAACCTCTGCTTCAGTTTCAAGGAGAACAATGCTTCTGACCCCCTTAGGGTTTGCAAGTTTTAATGAATGCATGGGAAACGCTTGGAGGATGAAAAGCATTCTAAGTGTTCCCATTACTCTCCTAAAAAACAAAGGTTCAAGCCAAACTGATACTTTGCTGACACAGGTGAGTTTGAAATTAAACAGAGCCCAGACCTCAAAAGGGCAGTGTTTAGGTGGCTCTTTAGGTCCCTAGAAGAATAGATCTGCATTGATATCAATCTAGCATTCAAAGAACAGATACCTGACCCAATGCCAAATGAGAAACATCAGCCCTTGCCGCCAGACCAAAATGTATGGTCAGCTTCTTCCTCCAGACCCGAGGTCATCGGTTAGTAGTCTCAAATCTCCCCCTGTCCCAAACATAACCCACCAATGTTATAGATCAGCCCCGGACGATTTCCTTGCTGGATGACTTTCAAAGCTCTGACACCATTACCACCATCCAGGGAGAAACCCTGACACCAGCCCGGCATTCCTTCGGGATGAATCCCTCTTCCGATTCTCATCGTGCAGCTATGGGGCAGAAGAGCAGAGAGATATAGGTCTTCCCTTAAGACAGTTGTATCTACCCAGTATAACCCAGACACACAAATGTAACTACCACACAACACTTGATCTCTAATACCCACTCTCTTTCCTATGCTTCAGTGTGATCCCCAAACACGGTGAGCGTGGCCTTGGAAGTGTACAATAGCATAAACATATTGACATCCAAACTATAACACTTCAGGGGTGAACACTATGATTCTCTGAGCATTAGAAATCAGCAAATTACCATATATACTCAAGTATACGCCGACCCAAATATCAGGCGAGGCACCTAATTTTAACACAAAAACTGCATTAAAATGTACTGAAAAACTCAGCTTATACACGAGTACATATGGTACTATAGTTGCTATCTCCCCCTAATGCACAGAGGCTCAAGCCCAACTGACACATTCCTGATTCAGGTGTTTCCAGGGTTCATGAACACAAGAAGTTAGGTACAGAAGATGCAGTTAATGGTACATGAGTGCTAAGGGCTGGGAGAGTTACAATGGCAAGGCACAATGAGGTTGGCCAATGTCGCATCATAGATTCTGGAAATCTACTTCCCAACATGTGATCCAGCTCTACTATAAGCAAGGCAGTCTTGGGCAGGGATTCTCTCTGAGCCTCAGTTTCCTCATCTTAAAATACAATATTTCCTGCCTTGCCTAGCCCACACTGGGAAAATCAAAGAAGATGGTCTGAGTAGGCACGCTTTGGAAATTTGGCATTCCATGAATAAAAAAGAAAACTGTGTTCCAAATGTGAAATCATACAGTTAAATTTTTCAAAGCCCTTTCAAGAAAAAAAGTGAAACTGGGCTTGCTGAACATGGCAAAAGGCTGTCTAGTGGAGCGTGTGCCACACTTCACCCAATGCTTTCTCTTGGATTCTACCACCACTCTCCCTTCCTGCCCTCCCTGGCAAACACGTCCACCCCCACTGAAGTGTAATACTGCACACATTTTCCTCTTAAGCTTTCAGCATAAAGCCTGGTGTGGCATTTTAGCAGTACCCGCCGCTGATCTTTAGAGCTGGGCTACAAACCAAAAGAATGCTGTAGCAAGCAGACTGTGAAGACCGAGAGTGAATTATTGCCCCTACCACATGTTAAGAGGACAGTTACCTAAGAGGACACTTTCCCCGGCTTCGAAGATGCAATGACTGGGTTGAGGTCTTAAAACTGCACGTTTTTCTTTCAGGGTTAAAGGGGTGAGTTTCAAAGACTAACACAAACTGGTCTGGATTGCAAGAATGGGAACAAGACACTTTACCAAAGGGCTACTCTGTCCCCACTCTGATGCCAGCTCCTCTGCCTGTGTGAGAGGCTAACAGGGAAAGAAAAACTGATTGACAGAGAGGAGAGGGACCACGTAGGTTTCTCCTCACTGGCAGAGTTCTGAATAGGAGAACGACTTCAGTGCATGTAAAATAAAACTGGCTTAGT